TTATGGAAATTAAATTTTTCCCCAGTTATTTAGTAATTTGTATGTTATATCGGGATAAGTGAGTGTTCGCAGGAATTTGCATTTTTATTAAAAATTCCTTTACAAATATGACAGCCGTGGTTTCACATTTTCTGGAAATTAGGCTATATAAAATCGAAAACTAATTATAGGTACCTATACCCTATATTAGCAATAATATATTTTGAAGCACTGAGGAGTGAGGACATCAATAAACAATTAAAAAATACTTAGAATCACAATATTTTAAATAATAATTATATAATTTTTATAATAATTGCTAAATAATATGATGTTGACATTACTTGAAATGTATTCAAAATATTTCATAAATTATAGGTCTAATGAATAGTCAATACTTTTCATGGCAAATAATTCAATTAACGGCTGTAGTAGCAGTACTCTAAAGTATGCCTGTTGTACTACAGTGAAATAATTCAATTTACATCCAGTTCTACTACAATGCATTTTAATTGTTAACAACCAAATATTTTAATAGTTTACAACTAAGTCCGGTCTTACTGTCTTAGTAATATATATTTAAATTATATTATAAATAAAAATTACAATTTATTGTGATGTTGGAAAATTCAAAGTTGAGTGAACTTCCACTGATTGTAGTAAACATAAAATAGAATGGAGGATTTATGGAGAATACGGTTTTCTTTTAATAAAACGCCTACCAAGGTACATGGCTTTTATTATACAGCTTACTTTTATTAATGTATTTCCCAATTTACATTTTGCGCTACGTCATGTTTAGATAAGTAAGAGTAGGAGGGGGACATTTTTACTTAAAAGGATCCAATTAGCATATAAATTTTTCTCTGGTTAGAACAAAATCGTTTCAATCAAATTTCCTTTTATTATTATAATATATCTAATAATATAATATATTGTTTTTTTTAATTTTCAAATCAAGAACGCTGCATATGCAAAATTATTCTGACTATAGTATCGTTATCAGACAAAATCACATGCTTATACAATTATAGCTGATTTAAGTAATTTCGTAAATATAAACATTTGATAAAAAATTTGAATTAATGTAGCAAAATTATTAAGAGGATGTCAGCGCAATGTTTGTTTTCTCTCTCTGATCTACCCCCAACATAGCAAATTTACGTTTAGCAGAACCAGCCCTGGCTGTGATATTACTTTTAATATTAGAGTGAATTCATCTATTATCAAACTTTAAATTCGAACATTACCTGTGACAATTTTATGGAATTAAATTTTTACGTATGTTAAGAAAGTGGAGTTTATTATAATTTTAAAATGCTTATAAATTGTGTGAAAATTAAAATATCATAAAAAGCCAAAGTAAGGACACAGAGGTAATGTAATTAAAAGTAACAACACAGAGTTGGTTCTGCTAAACATAAATTGTTTATATTGAGCTTTGTCTAAGAAAGAAAACAAATGGTACTCTGACATCTTCTTAAATCTTAATGTATTCTAACTTTAAATGTATCTTCATACGTACTACTATGTTACTGCAGGATCGTCCTGTATTAATATGAATAAATAAATTATGTAACTATTTTCTTCCATCGGTAAGTATATTACATGTGCAAAATATATTTACCAGTTCCCAACTCTGAAGACCTGAATATAGTCTAGTATTTAATCCAACGAGTATACAGGCACATTATTATTGCATATCGTTAAAGTATGTATACATATTACATATTACATATATATCATATTTTCGTGCCTATATACAGGTGCATAGATATAATATGTTTCAAATAAAGTGTAAGTTCGTTTCATAATGTTATGATACGGCTGCCAACCTATCTTGGACCTTGGTTTAACCTAGCTGATAGTATAACACCACGCAAGAAAAGTGTATTAAATCGAAACGTTCTAATTGATCTTAATAATCTACCGTTGTACAACTTATCTTTGTTTTTATTTATTAATATTTGTTATTTGTATCACTTGTTTTCTGTAATTTTGTAGAAAATAAAATTAGCCGTGTCCAATAGTGGAAATAGTGCAGTTGTATTCGAAATATTTGCTACCAAAAATATACGTACCTACTAAAGTATTTGATTGAACGTCAGCATACGTATTATATGGTATAATATAATGTAATTATATATTATCTCCGTTTAAACTCACACAAACAATTATAACTTAAACAATAAGGTTGTAACAGACGTATACTTAAAGAATCAATATTGAATATACTAATACTCAAGTGTATGCAAACGCCTAGGACATATTATTATATTATTATACTGTATATAAAAGAGAGTAATTGAATCGATTTAAATGTATCGTTTTCCGTATATTCACTACAATATTTATAATATCTTGAAATGTTAACATTCGCCAATGGATGTACCTACTCATGAATGACATTTTAATATTTACAGATCACAGATGAATACACCAATTTCCAATTTTCATTGCAACATATATTATTACACGTCAATTTAAGTGTAAATGAAAATGTATTGATTTTATCCACTGTTACATTATCGAAAAGCACAATATTTTTTCCTTTATACACCTAAATACCTAATGCTTACACAACAGTAATATGATACCAGAATATTATAATATTGTGTTACAAACTAGATTTACAGCTGTATCTAATATTGAAAACAAGATTTGAAGTTTTAATTCACGAAATATAAGGAGAAAAATTATTGTGAAAGTAAAGTTTGATAATTATTGTTGATTAAAAAGAGCTGGAAATATTAATTTTCCAAGATATTTTTTTTTTTTAGTTTAATTAAGAAAATAAAATTGAGCGTATAAAAGATTAAACTATTAAAAACGAATAAAATTATAAGAGTACATTAGTAATAACTTTTTAATAGGGTTTTGAATAAAACATTAAAATATTTAAATTTACCTAAAAATAAAGCTTATGTATTTTTAAACGTTTTAAGTCTGAAGAGTTCTATATTATGAATTATTGTCATTTTGACAAATTTAACGAGTTGGAAGAGTTTCAATAACCAACACTTGATATAATATCCAATATAAATGTATTATTTATCCGATTCAATTTTATAGCAGTAATTTTAAAGTTAATCCAGTTTATGCATATAACCATATTTTTGTCCTCAAAATTGTTGAAAACTTTAAATTAGTTATTTTCCATCAATGCCTCGAGCTATTCAAAATCTATAATAATATGTTGTGGGGTAATTAACTAAGCTTAAAATATTACGTTTAGTGGACACTAAATTAAGTGGTGTGTGGAGGGATGCCTAATGGGATTTCTGTTATCCCTGTTCCCCATTATTGTCTGTATTATATACACATCCAAATTAATTGTATTACAACTAACGTTTTACTGTTTCGTCGGAGGTTTTGACTATAGCGTGCATTCAAATAGTAAACTGGCAAGTGGCAACTGCTGGAACCTGCTGCTGCAGTCACACCCATAAAATTATCTCGGTTTCGATTGTCTTATAGGAAACGCTAAAACATCGTGTGCTCGTTTGTATCCTGTTATTTGTCGAAAACGATCTTTTCGATATGACATTGTACAATCGTATAATATACTTGAGATATAACCTGCAGTGGCGTAGTCAAAAGCCAGGGGGATGTTTCGGTTGTGGTTGAAACACCCCTTGGTCAAATATATGCAAAATACTTATGCTTCTTACTTTATATGCTTCAGATTTCTACAAAAAATATAATATGCTGTCATAATGCGATATAGTTTTACGCAAGTCCTATTTCATCTTTGATATATTATTTATATATGAAGATTGAATGCTATAATATATTATTATGACGGGGAGTATGCGTAAACCCCCTCCCCCCTCAAGTTATATTTAAATAAAAAATTAAAACAGCCCTTTAAAGAAACTCTTGTTACGCGCTTGGGTATAAATATACGGATAAAAAAATAGAAAAAAAAAATATCCGGTAACCACAAACACTTCAAAACAAACGTATAATGCACGCGACACATCATATTATAAACCATGAAAAACAAAACATCAAGACGTGCACATCACCCTCTTCTAACTGCCGTGTGTTTTTAGATATGTACAGCATGCAGCAGTGTCATTCGTGTTGTCTCTTGCGCTCTATCATATGTACATAATATTATACATATATAGGTATATCACTCTGCGGGCGAATAGGAGAATATTAAGTCTAAGGTTGTTTATTAGTTTATTTAAATATACACCACACACGCATATTATATTATATAAGCGGATAAGGAACACACGTGTAATTTGTTATTTATAATATTATTTATTTATTTTTCGAGTCCAGACGACGGACGGTCAAACTCACAAATCACATTCCGGATCGTAAATCTATCGTCCGGGACAAGCGATAAAAATGACAACGGAATAATAATAACGATAATAATCATGTGACGTTGTTACTACATTATAAACCTGCGCGGGAGGGTAAGAAAAAAATCAAAACATCAGATCTCGACCTTTCGACCATCGTATAGACACAAAATATAATCCTATACAATGCCCACAACGAACAAGCGTCATTTACTTATAACATTGCTACGGAGAAAAACGGTAGGACGTCCAAAGAAAGGGGGAAAAGACATGAGCACACCGAAATCAAAACCCCAAAAACCATCGGACTCACAATAACACATTAGTCACGAGCACAATATTATAATAATTTATATTATTATAATAATATTGTGAGTAAATATTATGTTTTATAGTAATTTATTATTACGAATGGTGCGTATACCGCCATAATATTATGTACCACCTATGCACCTATATAATATAATTGTATACCATATAGTTGTACATTAAATAAAATGCTAAGGACGAGCGTATTTCCGTGCGGTGTCACGTGTCGTGTTTATTATAGGTGTACAATATATATGTATTGAAAAACGAGTAGTCGCCACGCGCCGGGGGGGAGGTTTAACGTACAGAGGCGTCGTTGGATGGGGGGGGGGGGGTCGCGACGGGGCGAACCTTCGTCCGTCGCGACGCGCGGCCGCCGACTCAGTCGTAATCGCGCGCGGCATGGTCGCGGTCGTACGTTGTTTGTTCCGCGTCGGTTCGCGCGACGTCGTCTCGACCGGTCGTTGAGTCTCCGAAACCGATTAAAAGTGGATATTCAGCAATATCGGGAATATCTCGCGATTATTTGCTCGCTATACGTAACACTACAGTAATACTCTACGCCAAGCTATTAATAATAATAACGACATTTGTTGTTGTTGTCACCTATTAGACGAGACCCTCGAGTGCGTTCCAATCGGTTTTCGCGCGACGATGTTTCGCAGCAGGTGGACAGCGGCAATGCTGTTGGTGGCTGCAGTCTTCCTGTCGTCCGACAGTAAATTGTGGACTCCGGTTACGGGGTCCAACACGTTCATAGACGAAAATACAAATTTAGCCGAAGACTGTGAGTAGTTGTGATTCTTTTTTTACAATAATATTATATTTATTGTCATGATAAAAAGCTAACCCCGTTAAATAAGGGATCCAACAAACTCTTATTATTTATTGCTTATAGAGTTTATAAAATATTATACATATAAGTAGTAAATGCGTTCGAGTATTTCGAACGGCACGGTTATCGGGAGTAGATGGTGATAGGAACGTAATTAAGATAAACACTGTACCTACAGGCTACAATAATACAATATAAATTTACGTATACTATGTGTGTAAATAGTTTGATGCTCCGCGGAAATGACGAATGAAACGATCTTCGAATTATTTGTATCGCAATAATATTGGTATAGGTATTGCAATTTGTAGTAGGTACCTATAATAGTTCAGTAGAAATGGTGTTCGTTAAATTTTCGTGTTGTAATAATTCTTACACATAAAACAGCTGTTAAAACGATATCAAAGTTCAAAAAATTTATTTGGATATGGCAATAGCGGCTACGCTAATTCTCCTCCGGTGGGCTAAGTTTTTCACAGAATTACAAAATGCAACAAATATATTTAATTAGTTTTTGGAATTTCTTATGAAATCTTACTAATAGTTTCCTCCGAGAATTTAGATCTGATATGAATAAAATGATAGTATCACAAAGATTCAAGAAATCAAGAACTAAGATTGGTATTTATATAATTTAGATTTTGCAAAATATAGGTACCTACTTTTTATTATTATGAATATTTTTTGACATTTATTACGTAAGCTGAATTAAAATCACAAAACCAAATAAATTAACTATAGGTATAGGTACATATATGTGTACCTATTATATTTTTGAATTCCTAAAGAATTATTTTATTTAGACTGCCAGAAGAACTACAAGCTTATTTTTTTTTTTTTTGTGATATCAATATTTTAAATAACAGTAGTTTCAACTGTACTCTATATAATCTATATAATATGCTATTAACATAATTTATTCCAGTTTTCAATATAATATACGTATATATTATAAATGTACTGTATATGTATATTCCGAACTCGTAAGATTTCCCTTGTCATGATGTCTTTTATGTATTTAATCACACTCTAAAAATGTAATATTATACATTTCATTTTATTTAGCAAACCGTTTTATAAAAATAAGTGTTAAGGTGCAATTTACTTAAAATTGGTAATAAAATGGAAAATTAAATTGTTGAATACATTTTAATACATTGTAAAGTAATTTAGTCATGTATTTGTATGTATAATGAATAATAAGATAGAGCCAATAAAAGTATAATATATAATGATATAACAATATACATATAGTTATTATATTGTAAATGAATTTAGTTTTACTCGTTTTATATCAATAGAAAAAAAATCTTTTAGAAATATAAATAATATTCATGATTATATAGTTAAATGTGCACCTATAAATATATTTTATATACAAATATTTTAATTAAAGAATTTAAACATTAGTGATCTGGTTTTAACATAATGATAGTCGTTTAATGGTCATATCATATTAATTATTGTTTTCTCTTTTAAAATGTTTTCAATGCAATCCTCAAATGAAGTGCAATTTAAATATTTTTATGCAATAATGCAATGAATTCAATGCATTTTCTCAATGAAATACATCATTGTACTAATCTATGAAGTATAAAAATGATATTTTTACAATTTATTTCGGTTTAACACATTTAAAAATGAATATAAATAACTATAGTGTATAAGTACACGAGACACAAGTTACAAGTATAAAAACAATATTCAAAGACTTTTGTAAAAATTGAGTTGCAATAGAAACTTGAAACACAATGAGAAATGACAAAGTAAAAAGACGAAATCTGATACTGACGTCCGACATAATGCAAATAAACAAAAAAAAGATAATTAATGTTTGTTGATGAAAGTGACTGATGAAATGTGACTAGGATTATCTATATAGTCATGCCTCATGAATGTATATAATAATTCATTAGATTCCTTTGTAACCTAATCAACCAATGTATTTCATGCATTTTGGTAGTCTTTTATTAAAATCTAAAAAAATGTTCGGATGTTCTATGTCTAAATTCTATACGATTTTATATATTTTAGTTTATGTATAGTAGACTATTATGTTTTAATTTTGATGTAAAAATAATGAACTTATTTGTTTTTGATTTTAATTTTAGTGAACACCACACGATAAACCCTCTTTTAAAAGCTTTCCCTTAATTAGTCCTTTTAACAGTAATAATTATAACATTTTTTTTAAATAACATTTTATATTCATGAATTAATAAAATATAATTTAGATTTTGCAACTCGTTTTTAGTGTTTTTACCTACAAATTGTCCATATAAATATTTACTTATTTGATAGAAGTTATAAAAATAATAGATTTTGTTTTTTTTTTCATTAATTAGTAAAATTTATAAAAAATGTGTTACTAAAATAATATGATGAGTGTCCTGTAGATTTATTAAATAAAAATATTATTTGATGTGATCGTTATATGGTTATTTATTATCATGTATGTATTTCATTACGCGTTTAACACCATTTAAGTATAATTATTAATTAAGTATTATCTTATTGTTTACGTTCTCCACAATATAAACTAATTAAAATTCGATATTATTTAAATTATCTATAAATCAAAGTATTATTAATGGAAGAGGATGTAAATTAAGCGGATAAGTATAAATATAATCAATGTCATGTTATTTTTATTTCGACCATTACAAAACCTAAATAAATGCATTCATATATGGCTGTTTAGCTATCTAGGGATTTTGTTTTTTCAATTAAATAATTATTATTAGCAGCCAACACATAATCTGCGCTGTTCGTCCATTAAGGTCCGTTGAATTTAATTTAATTTCGTGATTCCAAAGAACAGCTGAATAACGGGATTTGACTGGATGGGGACACTATGCGCTCTGCGCGTTATTGGTTTACGGATATAAAGACGTCCCGGCGGAAGCGACGAGAGGACGGAAAACGACGGTGGAAATTATTGCTTTTGACGTCGGTCTAGGGTACTGGATGAATTTTTCCAGTACACAACAACGTCGGTCTTGTCATTCGCAGACGGCCCTTATATTATAACATTTATTATTTTTATTTCATAAACGTTATGATAAATCCCACTACAAAAGTATTTCACGGTTCATAAAAAAAATACGTAAAAAAATGCGATACCCTGAGTACTATAAATATTGACTAGCGGTGCACATTATAATAATGACGTGGTTGTTTCTAATTTTTTACGGCTTCTCCAAACAGTGTTCATAAAAATTATAAAAGAAATTATAATACATACCACGTCATAACATTATCCTCATTTTAGCTCTCTATTTTTACCAAAACGTTAAAACAGTTAACAATGGTTACATTCCGTTTTTTTTTTGTTTTCAAAATAAAAAAGGACCCTATATTTAGTCCCTTCTCGTATACCCAATAAAATATGTCAAGTCATTGGCATCATTAACAGGGATCTTTATGGGGATTTGATAGTTTACGACATATCGTTAGTTGTATATTGTGTAATGTGTATATACATTATTATACGGCTAACTGGTGCTCCGCGGGGGAGCCAAGTTAAGACAATATTATGAATTCCAAAACCTTTAGTTCGTAGGGTACCCGTTAGCCGTTGCCGAAACTGTTACAAAATAATAGTTTTCTGTACACATGTAAGACTAAGTAAACAATTTGTTCTGTAAAATATAAGACCGTCAAAGAGCTGATTTTGTTTATAAATGTACATTAGCAATAAATCAAACTTTATTTTTTATTTGACGTACACCACTGTAGGTAGGTATAGTATAATTTGTAAAATACTTTGTTCTTATTTAAACAGTATACAACAAATTACAGTTTAATATAAAAATTATAAAGTATTATACACCTTAATACACATAATATAGGTATTTATTTATCCTAAAAAATACTACGATACTTGAAATATTGCTTAATTAAGAGTAGGATATTGTTATTAACAATATTAAATTGATTCGAAATATTAATTAGTTTTTTTATTTTAAAGGTATCTAGCTAACACTATTAATTCCTTTCAAATTAAAGTATTTATAGTAATGAATATATCTGGTGAATATCAGATGAATATCTGGTGGCTTTAAAATTCCAAATTAGTTCATAAACTAATTAAAAATACATAAGTTGATATTTTTACTTTACCAGCAACCTTTTTTTAAGTAAACATATTTAATATTTATGTTAACGCTTCAAACTTTTTCAATATCTATAGATTAAATATCATAAATTGATTATTTGAATATATAACATATTACATAAGAATATAATATGTAGCTAAAAAAGTAGGTATAAATAAATTTCGACCCTGACGGTTCGGTTGTTTCATTTTCGTTATATTTGATGCTATTTTAAAATTACTTTTTTACGTCAATTAAGAATCAGTCAATTGACTAAAAATCAGACTGCTGATTTCAAAAACTAATATATTTATGAAAACTTTTTTTACTTTAATAAAGTAAAATATCTGATAGTATATTAAAAGAAAACTTTTATATTTTGTGTAAAACTTGTTTAACTAAAACTACATTTCTTACTTTAAATTTGGCATCTAATATCTATTGTTTGTATTATAAAAAATAAGAAAGTTTTTCTTTTCATAGCCACGATTTTTTTATAATTTATAACGATTTCCTAATATAACATTGTTGTTTTGGTTGAATTTAGTTTGTGTTACCTACGCCATACACTATGTATAATAAAGAAGAATGATTATAAACTATAGTTGTCTATATTTTAAACGTATTAGTTTATTCGATGATATATTAAAGTTAACTGTTAGTAGTTTGATTGATTTAATATATATTATAGGTATCGTTAAATTTCAAGATTTTTTTCATTGAATACTTATACAATAATATGTCTTAAGAAGTTGTCTTACAACATTTTAAGAAGTGACAACTGAATCACAATCATTCCATGTCAGAAAAACCAGAAATAACCTTGAGTTGATATATTTTGTAAATTTGTAACAG